CCCGAAGCCAGTGAGCTCCCAAAAGGCCTCGTGCTAGGTAAGGATGAGAATATACATATAAGGATCACTCCCCTGGGCGATGTGGGATGTCACAGCCACATCATTTGAATTAATCAGATTTTTAAATTTAGTTCATTATTTAATAAACTAATAATTAAGAAAAACTAGTTAATTAAATAACGATTGTGGTATGCAAGGAGTTTTTCTGCTTTCTTTCCTTGAGTTTTGCAAATCTTTCAAATGATGTGGCTGTCCACATCAGATGCCACCTAAGGTGGTATAGAAATGTGGTATAAAAATATGATATAAATAATATTACTCTTTGCTTATTATTTTCTCTCTTCCCTTTCATTTTTTATTCTTTTCTCTCTCTCCCCATTTATATTTATATTATATTTTATGATGATCAAATTACCAAATTACCCTTGCATGATTTGAGATATTATATTGGATTGCTTTTGAATTTTTTTTTGGCTGATGGGCAATTTGATTCTAATTTTTTTGTCGAAGCCGTAACACCAAAAGAGCCTTCCAACTTTATATATAATAGATTTATTAAAGAGCAGTATGGTGATTGTATAAAACCTCACTTTTTGATTGGTTCCCACCTTACCCGAATCAATATTTAAAGGATAACATACTTATTCTTTTCAGGATGAACTCATTTCTTTACTTGCAAATAATTTAGTTTTATAGCAGAAATTTCATCGTTGGAACTATTCGATCTCTTAATCATGATTTGAAAATTATTCCTACATAAATTCGGATACAATTATAGATATGATGATCGAGAAATTGAACGATTCAGATGATGAAATTTCTATGGTAAATTATTTAACTCATCCCCAATAAAGGATACAAGTATTATTCTTTTAAGTATTGATGCAGTGAAGCTATGTCTTCCGATTTAAGGTTTTAACATGACCAAGATTTCATTTAGTGACCACATTTTCAAATTTGATATATTTGAATGATTAAACGTATCGTATCAACCGGTGTGATGAAATTCATATTGCCTGCAAACTGAAGGAATTGTTTTCTTGGCAACCAACTTTCCTTCAATGTCAAATATTTATTGGTGTGTGTTTTGCCAAGTGGATTAATTGATTGATTTGAGAGATTATCCTTAATAATATACTAATCATCTATAATCACACAAGAAATTGCAAGGAAATCACTCATCGTTCGAACCCTGATTTTAATATTTGTTATGCGCAGTAGTTCATCGATTCAGTTTTATATGAATGATTGAACAAAAAAGATTTCTAGACCTAATTTTTAAATAAAAAGAAGAAAATTAAACCAAACAAATTATATATTACAAATTACTCATTTGGTGACCAAAAATTGGTAGAGATGTTTTTTTTTTTGTCAAATATAAACGGTAAAGATTAACACTAAAGCCACATTCATCTATTATTATTAATTAATATCAAACCAAATAATAAATTATTAGTATTCATGCATTTTTTAATTATCTGAAGATACAGAGAACGTTTATATATATATATATATATATATATATATATATATATTACAAAATTAAACAGATCGAATACTCAGATATTCTTTTGCTAGCTGGCTACAAAATTAAACCGATCGAATACTCAGATATTCTTTTGCTAGCTAGCCGGCAAGTTGAAATTTTCAAGTTGCAAAGGATCCTGCAATCCCTGTCAGAGGACCCAAGAACAGTGCGCACCTGCTGCTTTTTATCATTCGAACCCAAAAGCACGAGCCATATTATGGGCTACCCTAGGCTAGCCCAGCTAGTTTTGGTAGAAAAATATGTAATTTTTATCGATTTTCGAATGTAACTTATCACATATTTAGTCATTGATTTAAATTATTTCGATTTAATTATATAATACAGTTTATAAATCATCGCTTTTTGTACACATACAAGTTTAAATTTGTTTGAATAACGAAAGTTCTTGGCTCACTTTGTGAAAATTTTCTTAAGCTGGCTGATACCATAAAAAATATAGTATCAAGTTTATTTGTTTATAATGATTTAAATCTTTAGGCTAACTCATCCAGAGAAAAATTTATAGCTCCGACATTGCCCAAAGGAACCAGACAAAAATCAACCACAAGAATCCCCACCACGGCGAGAATACTGAAATCGACATCACATATCTTGTTCTAACTCTATAAATTAAACCCAACCATCCAGTAAAAAATAGGCAAATTAATCACCTAATTACCAAGCTACATAAAGTGCTATCCAGTATCCACACTCACATCTTTTTACTTTGAAAATACTTCTTTTAATTTTTTATCATCATATCCAATGAATTGTAGAAAATAAAGTAACAAACTGATATGTATAGCCCGATCCCTAATCCCTTTTGCCCCCTAATTATCTCACTGATCGATCTAATCTCGGGCCACCACATAATTAATTTCCATTTCCCACCAAGCTGCTTTAGCCGGCCGTATATATATAATAAACACGTAGGACATACATGGAGTTCAAATTGTTCAATAATTAATTTAAGCAACGCTAATGATACTATCAGTGCCACTAGACATGGCTTGAAACGTAGACGAATGCGACGTCGTCGTGGGCGATTGCTCCTCGGATGGAGTCGTAGAGAGCTTCAGAGACAATGGCAGTGGGTCTCTGGTGGGTGACGATGAGTACTTATTCTTCAAGTTAAAACCGGCCAGTTTAGAAGATGGAGGGACAACCGGAGGATGAAGTGGGATCGGACGGATGGGCCTAGTAGTTGTTTGTGAGACTTTTGTCTGGCTCTGCTGCATGTCTTGTAATGACTTCATGTTTAATCCTGATGATATCAGCTTACTTTGTATTGGTGAGCCTTCACCAGTGACAGGTAGGGCTGCGGGAAAAGTCGAAACTGGAAACCCTCCAAGAATATTGCAACCCAAATTAGAGTGTGGCTGTGGTGGGAATGGCAATACTTGTACAACTGATGGAGAGGTTTCGCCTAGATCTTCTTCCATCAATGAATTCAACTGCACGTATTTAAAATACATAGTTAACAATAATCTATCGCTTTTTTTTTTTAACAAAAGTGATATTATAAATTATTCTAATCTACGAAAAGAAAAGAAAGTAATCAAACTTGATCGTGACTCATGGCTAACAATGATATATGTGAACGTAGAAAAATTGCTACAATGTCAAGTTGATTTTAATTATACTGTCAAACTATAAATCTAAACCCTACATTAATGCAAAAATTTATTTTAGATTCAAAATCTGAAAACATAAATTTTTCTTGTAAAAGTAAAAAAGGCAAATCCAACTCATGGAAATAACTTAATAGGCATGAACTAAGATTAAGGTAATTAAAATGCTAAATTACAATTAACTACGATTATAATATTAATAGTACATACGGGGGTATCGGTGGTGATGTCGAAGAGACTAGATCTGCGGCGTCGTCGGTTATGGTTGTTGCGCCGGAGGAAGTACTTTTGAGCATGACTCGCCACCTGAGTCGGCGTACGAGTCTTCACGAAGTTCCTAGATATCCCTCTCCAATCTCCTTTCCCTACCATCTGTAAACCCACCAAGAACAGCTTGTGCTCCTCCTCCGTCCACGCAACACCTTCCCATATAAAAAACCAACCAATCCAACAATTAGTCAAGTAAAAATAATTAATTCAAAATAAATGAAAAAAATAAGATAATTAAACTCCAGATTAGATCAGCAAGACGCTTGCGCATGAGATTTCAACTTCGATTTCTCGCTCTCATAAAAAAATTAAAAAAATAAGTCCACGAGTACTACATACCTCTCCTGCGCTCGCGGCGGTGTCCAGAGGCGTGGACGACGTCGTCGGAAGCGTAACCCGCTTCGGCGTTTGTGTCCGCCTGCCGCTCACACTGGGACAAGTTGTTCATGCTGACGCTCTTCCTGAACGCGTTTCCCTCGGTGACTCTAACACCGAAAAGCATGATGCCATTTTCGGTGGTCGGGCCACCACAGCCTCCGCCGCTGACATCCGTGCATTTGCGGGAGTTGTGGCCGTTGTTCCCACACTGAGAGCACGTGTGAGACATGATCTTCTCTCAGGACTCACACGTTTGTTGTTGGCGGTGTTTCAATAAGGCAGGCAAGAAAGAAAGGAAGAAAAAGGTAATAATCTGGGAACAGGAAATTGGTTTGTGTAATGAAAGAGAAAAATGAGGGCTGCTGTGGTTCGTATATAGGGAGTTGCAGCTCTAAATAATAACCCTGCGTTTTGCGTATATTTTAATATTTCTGTGTACGAACACGGAGAGGGAACTAAAAGAAATTTTTTATTACACTCATAACACTAGTGTTACATCATGTTTTATTATATAAGTGGTAAAAATTTTATTTTGTAAGTTGTTCAATTTTTTAACATAAATATTTCACCATTTGTATAGTAATACGTAGTGTAACACTCCTTGTTCCGGACATACTAAAAATTCTCTTGTGGAACTCCATGAAATTTTACTATGCACCGCTAGAGTATTGAAGTAAAATCGGACATATGTTAATCCTCCACTTTATATTGTCATTTTTTGTTAACAGCAACAGGATTTCGAATTGTAAAAATAAAAATTACAAAATTACTATCTGTTAAACAATCTAACCTGTTATATATGTTCACAAATTAGTGTCGTATTAGAGTTTACATTTTTTTTAGAATAGAAATAAAATTATATATTATATAAGGAAACTGATTTCAGTCATAAAGACGTTCATAAGTTCAAGTTGTATCCATTTAAAATATCATCCAAGAAATCCTATGCGTTCTCGTTACATATATTTTAGTTGTCTTGTTAATTAATCTGTGCTATAATTTTATATTATCGTAGCTACAATAAGTATTATTGTTAATGAACACCGTGTAGACAAATATTTGCATAAAATAATTCAACATAAAATTATTGTTAATAACTTAATGGTAAAAAGCGTTGGTGGAGGAGCAAAGTGATTTGTGCACCGTCGACTGGGCATATTCGATGGCTCTTTGACAAAGACATCGTTGTCTCAATGCCTTCGCGTCATTCAGGTCGTTCGTTGGAATCGATATCAGTCATGGACCATGGTGATGGTGGTGGATTTTGGTGGTGGGGTGGGACGTGGTTGTGGATGATAAGTAAAGCCTGGACCCCACTCATCACCTTCCACGACAAGACTTCGGTATTTAACCTCGACCTTCGTATGTGGCTACGCACCTCTTTGGTGGTGGTGGACGGATGCCCTTTTGCCTTCCATTTCCTATTTTTATCCATTACTTTCTCCCTATTTTTGTCCTGCTTTTCTATTGGTGAGTGAGACTCAAAAGTTCGTCCACTATAAGCTCTCATATCCAACCATGTGAGGCCACGTGAGTAATAGTTTGCACAGCATCATGAAGTTTTTCAGTCGTAGTGTAACATTTTCACGTGATATTATTATATTACCGCATCTATATATGTTCATTAGATAACGTAACTTAACTAGGTGGCATATCAAGTAGCATTTCGGTCGCACGGATTAATAATACCACTTGTCTGTGTGACGAATTCATAGGAGGTTGTGAGTGTGTGCTGATTAGGCGGTTTTACAAAGCAGAAGAGGGCATGTCATTTTATAGGTGCTCTGTCTCTTTGGAAGCATGTGTTGCGCTGCTTTTCAAAGCATTTGATTCGTTTTATCCTTTTATCTACGTTGAGCTTTTTCATTAGGTGCATGTGTTTTGTGTTCCGTCTGCATCTTGTTTTCTTCCGCAATTTTTCTGCAGTCACATGCAGTGACTCGATGCGTACGTGGAGTCAAGGCAGTGCAGCGGCGGCTGCAAGTGCAACTTTCATTCTTCAACACCCAGTTTCTCCAACTGTTAGTTACATATTGTGACTTTTGTTCCTAGCTTCCTCCTTGATTATTCAGTTTCCCCAAACCAAAAATCAATAAAAACATGCATATCACCGATTGGATATAATAACTGTGCATCACAATGCATGCTCGATTCTCATCGATCACCTAACATTTAACAATTTAAATCATTAACGTTAACAATTTAAATCAGTAACGTTATCGTTTTGTTAAAAAAAAATTGTATATAATAGTTGAGTTGATTGATTATTTTTTACGTGGTTTACAACATGAACAGAAAAAAAGGGACTCAACCTTAGCATAATAAATGCATATATATAATCAAGCTTTTCTCTCGTATTGCACAGAAATTTGAACCAACAGTTATAACTAAAAAAAACCCTCTTAAATTAGCTTCAATAGTTAAATAAAAGTCTGTATTACTGATCATGTTATCTAAACAAATATGAGGAGAGAAGTACACAATTAAAAACCAAAGTAATTGAAAAAACAGAAGAACGAAGATAAAGAATTATGAAGACTATTATTTAAAGAGACCTCCCACCGTCCAATCTGTTGACTGCACTACGCAGACGTAAAATAGTTATGTTCACATCATGATAGACCCTGTTCTCACGTATATCACGTGATAGAATACAAATATCAAAACCCTAAGCAAGAAACAGGCAGCTACAATATCTCCATGACTCTCGGAGTTAGCCCTCCTAAGTCAAAATCAACTAGCTAATAATAATTGCTCCGTTGCAGCCCTCAACTTAATAATTGCTCTTCATCTAAGTTTCAATTTCCTGTTCGTAATTTAGAATTATATCGTTCGAATAAAAAAAAAGCTAATGATAACCTAAATTTTTATTTATTTCCGTAGTTTTAGTTCATAGTTAATAATTTTTTTTATTTTTTATAACGATATATTTATACTAAAAAAATAACGATATATTTATACTAAAAAAAATACAAGAATTGGTTGGAACTTACCATATCCAAGAACCGAAAGCAAAAACGCTCACCCACAAATAAAAAAAAATCATTAAATTTAGTACAAAGTGGCAAATAAATAAACAGGCAATAAGGCACAGAATTGTACTGGTGTAGCCTGTAGGGTAAGCAGTGGTCCTTATCAAACGAAGACAAGGAGCATCTCATATTACATATCCGCGTTTGGGATAAGTTTTTCTGACTTTGATTGGCCATTCAATCCACTGATTGGTGTTTGGTATCATCCTTGATAAGGACAACATGTCTTGAGATTGGCTAACAACAGCATCGGAGAAAATGATTTTTTCTAAAGCCACCATAGATCAACCGCAGCGATCGATGTCTTCAACCTAACAAATTAGATTGGATTATTAGTCAAAACATCTTTTTTATTTCTTTGTAACTTGTTCTTCTATGTAATTTACAATTGAAAGTGAAGGCTAAACTAAACCATATTCTCCAGTCGATCGCTTATTTCCGTGATAAAATTTTTGGTCAACGAAAGCTAAATTCGAGCAATTATTTTGGTGAATTGCTTATGTGCGTGTGAAATTTTATTATTGCTTAGCTTTACATGTACGAAGATTTCTTACCGCCTCGTCAAAGTTAAAAATCTCATGAGCAACTAACCTAAACAAAATCTTTGTAAAACATGAACATGATTAAGGAAAATTAATATGATCAATATCCATCACAAATTACAGAAAGCTCTATAAAATTTATTAGCAATGATGCATGTGTTGTCTAAACTAGTTTCTTAACGATAAGGAAACCCTAATCATACAAACTAATACTGTCAAGCTAATTTAGAGTTAAACTTCCTTAATCAACTGTTAATTAACTACATGCATTACCATTGGATTCGTTGCCATTCATTTCAAGAAATAGTTGTGCAGTTCAGATAGTTTAATTAGCAGAAAAACAAGAGGAATACCAGTGTACGGATGGTCATGGTTTGATACTTGGTGCCAAGCAAATCTGCAACATCATGCCGGACGTAGGCCCTACAAAGCATGAAAATAACGTAACGTACAAAACGAGTTTTAGGACCAAAACTCTTTTCAAGTCTTCAGTCTTCTAGTTATGTCCCCAGATTTCAAGAGGGCTGACCTTTCACATATTGAAATTTGACCATAAACGTGTTGATCCACTCCGAGGGGGAGTCAATGGCTCTCATAGTTTGCATGTGCATGAGGACAATATTAATGCGACGATGTACCTCCATCCATTTGTATATTACACCCAAACCTGCAAGATAAGGGAATTGTGAATTGGTTTGAAGAGCGATGATATTGAGGACGGTTTGATAGCTATTTCAGTTTTAACTTTTGTACTTTTAGTTGTTGTGTTTAAAATAGGGAAAATATATATGAGGGAAACGTGGTTGGAGAAGAGTGAAGCGGAACGTGATTGAAAGATGTAGAAGAAATGTATACAAAACAAAAGCCACAAACAAAAAAAACAGAAAACTGTTTTATATTAGTTTTATTTTTAACGTTCTGTAATCATTCATTATTCGTTTCTTCATCTCCCTCCCACTACCTTCTTCATTATTTATTCTCCCAACTTTCCCTTTATCTCAAAACTAAAAACAAAAACGAAACAATTAAGAAATATATTTTAACTATTTTCGAAGACATCTTCTATCGCTTGGTATGGTAAAAATAGCTACAACTAGTGGCCTCGTGGTGGATTAGGATGAAGGAAAAAAAACACTATTTTCAAGATATGACAAAAGAAGAAATGAAAAATTGTGATCAAATTAGAGGCAGAAGAAGAATTACTCGAGAAGAAAATCAATTCATTTCAATTCTCCTTAAAATAATAAGATTAGAAAGGAGAAATTCTGTCATATCTAATCCTCTTTTAACCCTTTAAAATGAAATCATTATTCTCTATTGTTAATGTGCCTTAAATTTTGAGGGTTCTATTATTCCAATCCAATCCGTTATACCAAACGAAGTAAATGTGTCTAAGTTAGAATTACGGGCTAGTGACCAAAAAAAAGGGTTGAATTATGGGCCTAGTTAAAACCCAAAGTTAGTGTGGCTTTGTTATAATCCAAGTCCAAGTCCTAAAGTCAACAAGTCACAAATCTATTTGTCCCCCATGCCTACAAAATTCAGCTAAACGACAGGCCGTTTCCAATCCAAAGCAAAATATCAAATATCAGCGCCAGGTCACCTATTCCACAGATTTCGATGGAAGCGGGAAGCCTTCTCCGCAGTCCAATTCCATGGACTCCAAAACGCCCTTTCCGACGTCGTCTCGTCCCCGCTTTCCCGCGCAGCATCAGGGCTTCGAATTCAGACACTCGTTACAGAGGCCCAAAGCCCAAGAGAAATTGGGTCGCCGATTGGGTCTCCAACAACGACGACGCCGCTCGGAGCTTGCCGATATACGCCGGCGGCGCCTCTCTCATGGCCATCCTCTTCAACCGCACCGTTTCGGACATCGCTCTCGTCGCTGACGCCAGTAGGTAAGCGCGCAAACGCATTTCTCTCTGCTTAATTATAACCACTGCCACTTCAATGCAATTTGCAGAATTTTGAAGCTTCATTTCTCAGTTACTGTTTAGGCAATTTGATTAGGGAGCTTAATTAGTGGTTAATTAATCATGTGAAATTATGTTTAATTTGTAGTTCACAGTCCAGAGCTGATTTATTGACGTTGGGATTGGCCGTGACCAACATACTAGCAGGTTTGGTGTGGCTGTCGATCAGGCCAAAATCTATATCTAAGGTCAGAAAATTAGCTGATTGATCCCATTTTTTTCAAATGAATTAGTGCTAATATGTTTAGGGTTTAATTTCAGGTGAGTCCGGAAGGGGTCGAATGCGAGCAGATGCATCCGAATCTTCCCAAGACTCTACTTTCTGAGTTGTTGTGGTAATGCATTAGCACATGTTATATAGCAATGTTGATACCCTTTTCGCCATCGTCGGCAGTTTAATGTGTTTTCAATTTGTAGCGCGAAATTCTGTTTTATAAAGCCGAAACCAAAACATTGATGTTAAGAGAGGGGGAAATGTAGGTTATTTGTTGCGATTGGCGGGTTAAGAAATAAGCACTTTGCTAATCTGAGTATGGCTGGTTAATTGTTGTTTTTCGTTTCTTATTTTCAGGGCATGGGAATCTCTCTCCAGCGTGACATGCTGCCGGTCTCTAGTTATAGTTTATGATGGAAGATGTATCCTTCAGATTGGTTTTGCAGCCGAATCTTCCAATGGTGATGGAAAGGCTGTGGATGTGGATGCTGATAAACTGATGCAAGGATCACTCTATCGAGGGGTTATGAAATCAGGAGTTCGTAAGTACCTGCCAACGACTACATGTTGTCTAAGTTCTTCGACTTTTTTCCATGTCACAACTCACAATCTAAACAAGACTGCCATTCTGTTTTTTTTTCTCAGAGAGCTATTTGGCCAACCTATATCTTTATCCTGGGAAATCCGAGCTACCATTTCTGCCTTCAAATACGCAGGTTTAGCTTCGTCTGTTGTTTTATATACATTTTTCCTAAGTTCTACTATTCTGTTGATTAAGAATCACGGTGTATATCTGCATTTTAAGGATTGCTAAACACGATTTCCAACTTTTTCAGGCAGTAATATTGCAGCCACTTGGAGACAAAGGGATTGCTGTAATTGGTGGTGACACAGTAAGAGGATTCACATCGTCTGATCAGGTGTGCCCATTTTTACTTTGAAAATTTTGTATTTGGCAACACGGTTTCACAAAGGGCCTATTGCATAAAAGATAATGTTCCTGAAGTTTTCCTCGTTTATCTTTATCAAAGTGTACAACAGCAAATATACATTCTGCAGAATGAAAAATATATAACGTGTGACCGGTTGATCAAACTCTTTGGCATAGTAATCAATTAGGCTCTGTTTGTTCATATTTATCAAGTTATTGCAATAACAATTGAAATGGTAATAGGCATGGATTTCATTAATCGGAGAGAAGCTCGATTCTACGCTATCAAAATACGTGGAAAACCTCCCATTGGCTGTACAAGATCCAGTTCTGAAGTAATTAAACTGTGAGGCTTAATGATCGTATCGCCTTATGCAACGGCTGTAGCCTTTATCCAGGTAATTTTCATTTTTATTTTAACCGCATCGCATAGCTTATAATAATTTTGAAATTATTACCCACTATATGGGCACAAAGTTTGTCAGAGGCTTTCTCATAGAGAAGCAAGCAAGACTCCATAATTTCAGCACAAACGACTCATGCCCAACCGCGCGATGTCTCTCTCTCTCTCTCTCTCTGAATTACAAGATGTTTATTTTCATGTTTAGGTTCCTCAAGCAACAGCTTATCGTACAGAGGATGAAGGATGGCGGTTATCGAGATCATGTTCTCGTGCCTTCCAATTCTATTGCGATACCTGAAATATATAATGTATGTAGTCTGTTTCTTTGTATTATCGGTCAGTTATCTTCGACAATGCATTTCGAACAGATTCTTCGGAGCTGCTTGCTGGGAATTTGTACAAAGCGGACTCTTCAGAGCTGTATCTAATTCTAAACTCAAAACCGCACTTTTATTACTAATGCACCTAATTTTGCTCGATTTCAATAGTAAGAACGTTCAATTAGCTGAGTTGTACTTGCGTTGTGATTTTGCCTCCAATTTACCTGCTAAAACAATTCCAAATTCATTTCGATAACTCTAATTCAAATCCCCGTCTGTCTCTCTTGAGGATTGATGCAAAGCTATAGTTGCAGCTGTTGAATTCAATTAGTGGCTTAAATTAAATTTTGAAACGCACCCCTTTATTTGCTTTTGAAACATAAACCATTATTTGCTTTTGTCAACTGCTGCATCTACAACTCCACACCAATCCGTAAGAGAGACGGACGGGGTTTTTTCTCACCATTTCCATTTGTTTTACAATTAGAATTTAGTGTTCCCTGCGATTACTTTTCCTTTAAATGACATGAAAACACATAATAAAAGTACACACAGGAGAGGAAAAAATCCGTAGTCCACTTTATTTGATTGGGAAAAATGAATTTGTATACAAGCAAAGGAAAAATTCATTTGATATTGTCGCAAAATTTACACTCTGAGAATCCTGTAATTAATTCGATTTGTGTGTAGAACGTGTAAAAAAAAAGAATAATCGGAAACAAGAAAAAAAAAAAAAAAGGCAGCTCTGTGTGATTTACTCTGCAGAAGTAAGAGACTTCTTCTCCCATGGCAGCAACCTAGTCACAGGATCAGCAAAGTACCCCAAAACAAAGTCCTTCAACCCGGTGTCCCACACCTCACAGAACCTCAGCCGCCAATTGGGCGGCTCAACCGCCTCCGTCCCCAGCCCCGGGGCCCTATCTTTCGACCCCTTATTCTGATCCTCCTGCCAATCCACCACGTACGTCGCCACCCGCCTGAAAAACTTCGCCCTGAAAGTCTCCCACACCTGGTACTTGTAGTGGTTGACCACCGCGATTCCCTCCGGAACACTGAGGTACCTGTACCCCTCTCTCAGCCGGAAATGGTGCACCACATTGAGCAGAGTCACGTGGAGCAGCTCCGTCCGCACGATCGACTTGTGCCGCTCCGGGCTCTGCAGCCGGCATGTGTACCCGACCGTGACTCCCTGCTGGGGTTGGGAGCTCAGCCCGGACGGGCCGAAGCTGTGGCAATCAGTTCTGATCTCCGCAATGGTGGCTGAATTTGAAAAATTTGAAACTAGTTTTCGCAGCGAATTCTCCCCCGGAACACCATAATCTCCTCTGCCACGTCGGAAAGCTTGCGGGAAGTAAAAGAACTCGTCCACGTCAAAGAATCCGACCCAATTGCACTCGTCTTTTGCTCTCAAAGCGCAGTGGGAAAAGCCTGCTTCTTGGGTTTTGATCCACGGCCAGCTCTGCCTGCTGACATTGTAGTCCTGCGAATCGAGCTCTCGAACGACGTCGTCGATCCCGTCGTCGCTGTTGTTGTCGTAGATGAACCACCGCTCGACGCCGAGCCACGAGTGGTACATAATCCACTCTTTGATCGCCGGTGCTTGGTTCCACAGCATTGTGCACACACAAAGCTCATGCTTCTTCGGATTGGATTGGACTGGATGGGATTTGGAATTGTGAATTGTGGCCACAGAAGGCAGAGTGACGTGGACTGGAGCTCTGGGGTGGCTGGTGTTGTATCCGATAGTGACCCGGATTCCGTGGGCCTTATCCGGGTGGTTACGGATAGTGCGAGGGAGGAGGCACCGGACGACTTCCTGAGCGGCGGTGACGGCTTCTGTGGTGAGCACAAAGCCGCTTTGGTCTTTGTCTTTGTCCCAATTCCCCAATCCGAAGTGGCAGCTGAGCCGGGTCGGATCCGAATTCTTGTGCGGTCGGAGGTTCAGCCCCTTAACGAACACAACCGCCGTGTCTCCATCAATAACCGCCTCATAAACCACCTTGTCCCATAGAGAAGCCGTGCCGTTTGTCGCAGCCGTCGTATCGTAACTGCCGCGTCGTCGCAAATCAACGGCTGTGGAGAAATTGAGCGGCGGCAGCGGACACCGAACGATGGACCGGAAGTCATCGTAGCCGTCGGTGGATAAAACCGGTCGAACCACAAAATCCAGCTGCTGATTCTTTTCTTTATCTTCAAGAATGTCGTCATCCGAACCGTTGAACCGCTTGTGGTAAACGCACTCCAACTCGTCGTTTTGGCGGAACCGATTGGGCACAACGAGAAGCACGTGATCGGGAAACAAGATTCGATCTTGCACTCGAAACGACGGCGGCGACTCTTTGCCGTGCTCACTGTGGGCAGCGAAGGACTCGAGTATCGAGTTGCTGGCGGTGGAGGACAGGAGGGAGAGGGTGGTGGAGGAGGCGGTTAGGACTGGCCGAAACGACGCCGGGCGGAAGCGGCCGGACGATACGAACAGAAGGAAGATAAAGAACGAGAAGCAGAGCACCAAGGGTCGTCTCAGTGACAAGTACTGCTTCGCCTGTAAGTAGGACCTCCCCATGCGCTTCCGCTTGCGGCGCTGCTCTGACGAGTCCATGATTGCTAAAAACGGAAAGTGCGAAAAAGTCCAACAAAGCGGGGGGAGGGGGTGGAGAATAATTAGTGGGTTTTGTAGATCTGCTACTGCCGACAAGTGGGTTTTATGGAATTTGGGAACTTTCGGGGGAGGTTTTAGAGAGAGAGAGAGAGAGAGAGAGAGAGAGAGAAAGAGGAGAGAGAGCCTATAAGGACGGCTGGTGGTGGTGGATGAGGTGTCAAATGGGTAAGGTTGCTGGTGGAGGAGATGGTGGAGGATTATGTGATTAGTCTGTCGACGTTGATTAGTTAAGGGATTTTTTTGGCAGGAAGAAGACTTGGGGTGACCGAAATAATTGGGATTTGAGGTGGACGCTTGTCGGGGGATTGATTTGATTTTCTGAGGGGAATATGAATATTTGTAAAATATGTGGCGTGAGGTAGAAGACAGGCGTCCATGGAGGTTGCTCGGAAACTACACATTTTATTCATCTTCTTGGGTCAAAAATTAAGTTTGATTGACTATGAAAGACATACGTATAAGTAAAGTTAGGCGACTTGGCACTCAGTTTCGTTTTTGTTAGAGAAGATTCTAATTTTAAAATTTTGTTAATGAGAATTGTTGATCGAAATAAGAAAATACTGATGTTTTATTGACCAAAAATTGAAATATTAACGATGTTTTACCGTCTGTTCATTCATTTGCATATCTTCTATTTAATTGGGTTAACGAATAAATGAAAGTTATTACCCAATATAACAGTAGTGCCTTAAGATACTCATAATCCATAAGATTATGTTTATATAAGTGTAATACCTTATTTGACACTAACCGAATATGTATTCCGTTTGGATTGAGGAACTATAAAAGCAAGATTTGGATTCCACAAGACTAAATGTATTTTAAATTTTCTTAAGAAAACTAACTAGTACTGGATTGAATGTATTTTAAAAAACTGTATGCGGTGCATGTCAAATAGGAGAGATTTTTCAGAGTGCTTAAAATACAGGGCGGAATACAACATATCGTTACACAATTGGATGGTTACTTAAAAAACAAATTTTTCTCCAATTATATTATGACATATAATGTTCCGTCTCGTATTCCAGATACATTTCAATCATTTACTAGTTTTACGCGCTCCTTTTTGTTCCGCCTCTATGGGACATCCATATGACTCGTATGAGTGCGTGACAGTGAGACTAGTTTTTCCTTTCTCACTCGCTTTGTGTATTTAAGACATACGTGTATAAGTATATGACAGTTCTCTTAACTCTGTCCAATTATTCTAACACTTACGTAAGCACATCTCATGAGGCTAATATGGTATTTACCAACAATTGTAGCAGTTGATAACATTGACTTTAGAGGTGGTCCATGTGTTGTTTAATGAGCTGGTCGACATTCATTCAAAAAGAGCATGTATCCTTTTTCTTTTTTCTTTTTTTTCTTTTTTTTTCTCCTTTAGTTTTTGGGTTTGGTCAAGACTCAATAGGCAGGGAGGATTAGCTGGCAAAAGGTTAGGTCTTGGGGTTTCATAAAACCGTGTGAGCCGCGAATGAAGCAGCAGCATGCATAATTCCATGTGCTTCGCACGATAATTCGAACCACCCTTCTCTCTATCATTTGATTCATTTCTTGCACCCTTAGGAACACATATATTCTCTCTTCAAAGCAAAAGTTTGTTTTGAAGTGTTTTTAAATGATTTGAACGTGTTTTGTGAAAATATTTTTTAATGCAATTCTTAACAAAAATATAAGTGAATCCTAAAAAGGTACACACTAGTTATGTGTTTCGTGTTTTTAGAACCGAAAACCATTTTTCTAAAAGAGCTTTCAATTAGGAGATAAGAAATTTTGCCATAAACCGATTTACCAACCGAACCATACCGATCGGCTCATAATAGTATGGTATAGTTTTGGCATTTTTTCATAATTGGTTGACATTTTACCGAATTGACAATTAATGGCATGGCTTTGGTAATTGATTTTGTATGCCGGCGGTATGCCATACCAACCAAAATATATATATGTATTTTTTTTCTATTTAGATATTTTAGGAATTTTTTACATGATTGACTCCTCAGTTTTAGGGTTTAGAAAATGAATGATGTCACATCCCGGTCCGGGGCGGATCACTTCCCGGGCCCGCTCCACCACCGTAGCACGATATTGTCCGCTTTGGGCTTACCATTCCCTCACGGTTTTGTTTTTGAGAACTCACGAGCAACTTCCCAGTGGGTCACCCATCATGGGATTGTTCTAGCCCCTTCTCGCTTAACTTCGGAATTCCTACGAAACCCGAAGCCAGTGAGCTCCCAAAAGGCCTCGTGCTAGGTAGGGATGAGAATATACATTTATGGATCACTCCCCTGGGTGATGTGGGATGTTACACTCCACCCCCCTTAGGGGCCCAACGTCCTCGTCGGCACACACGCGACCAGGGTTAGGCTCTGATACCAACTGTCACATCCCGGCCCGGGTGGGACCACTTCCCGGGCCCGCTCCACCATCGTAGCACGATATTGTCTGCTTTGGGCTTACCATTCACTCACGGTTTTGTTCTTGAGAACTCACGAGCAACTTCCCAGTGGGTCACCCATCATGGGATTGCTCAAGCCCCCTTCTCGCTTAACTTCGGAGTTCCTACGGAACCCGAAGCCAGTGAGCTCCCAAAAGGCCTCGTGCTAGGTAGGGATGAGAATATACATTTATGGATCACTCCCTTGGGCGATGTGGGATGTTACAAATGACTCCTTAATTTTAGGGTTTAAAAAATACATGATTGACTTATCCCTACTGCTATAAATCAGAATCTGATTGTTCATACTCTATGCTGCAAGCCAATTGGAATTGGGGTGCAGCGAAATTGATGGCATGGAATGCATGTGAGGCTCACTAATATACTTAATAACCACATGGATCCCAAACTCCCATACACTAAGCGACTTATCATCGCTGGAAGTAACAAACCTACGGTTGTTGTCCACAAATGTAATCGTATTCACAGCACCCAAATGTTGATCTTACTCTTGCAAACCTACGGTTATTATCCACACTTCCTTATTTGCAAACCACCGGTTGTGCTATATACCAACCGAACCAACCAATAATTTTGGCTAAACCGATTTTTGGCAACCGCAAGAGGACGGTTGGCTAGCGGTACTTGATTTTTGATAATTATGTATATGTGGCTAATAGGTGGCATAAAGAATTTGGCATGGTTTGCCAACCGAACCCAACCCTACTTTCAATCATTTTAAAAATACTTCTAAACGATTTTGAACTTAAAAAGACCAACAGGAACCTCTTCGGATCATTTTGGTGAGGATCTTAAGGATCCTTGAATTGTGTTCATTATTCGTATATCGTGCGATCAGTTATTGTCAAGTACTGTTTGTGTTTAATTTGAAATAAAAATATTTAAAATGATTTTTTACTGCATGATATGCAATGAATGAACACAATTCAGATATCTTCAGAATCCTTAATAAACAGAGCGTGATTTTTGACTAATTCTTTTGCGTTGCAGTTATTTGCACGTTTGAAGTCGAATTTATTAGTGATAATATTGACGACAAATCACCAACAGTAAGATGAAAGTTTCAACAACATCAATAACGTCAGCAACACATTTTAGAAAATTGGAGTTAACCAAATTGTATAAAAGTTGGGAAATGAATTACACCTTTCTTTTTCTACGCATCTTTGTTAATTCAAATTTTTTTTTTTTTTAAGAAAAAAAAAAATCGGTTAGTGTTTTCGTCACGACAGCGTATTTTTTGGGGAAACGGAAAGACTCACATAGTCATTTTAAATCTCAAAACAGTTATAACTTAATTGTGTGAAGCACTCACTTTCACATTGGTTATCAACGCACCATAGAAGATTCGAATACAAAGACTTTCATGCAACCAAACCCTAAAATCATCAAGTTAAAGTGTTGATTCTGATGGGTTTTGTGGTCTAAATCAACATAGTAATTACATAACCCAACGAATAAAACCAATTGTAAAAAGGATGGCCGAAAGAAACTAATGATAAATGAAGGGAAATTAATCCATGACGCAACTCCATTAGCAAACTTTTCCTATCAAATTATGAGCAGTGTTTAAAATATCCACGAAACATAAACTTCATCCTATATTGGCGAGATATAGAAAAATTAATGAATATCAATGATATTTACTGATTTACTATAAAAATTTTGCTAGAATCCATTACAGATTTTGCACTTTTGATTTTTTTTTTTTTTTTTTTGAGAAAATTTTCTCTAATTTCAACTAAATATGAATAAGTTGATATACACATCCCATTGCAAATTTTCATAATTTCCGTTGAAGAATACCTGTATATCGATATATCCACTCTATATTCCCATCAATTTGCATATCAATATTTCCACTTATATTAATATTTTAAATACTCATTATGAGTAGCATTTAGCTACACTGAATACTGAATATAATTGCAGGAAAAAATAATAATATTGCTTGATTATAATTGGGTCAAAAACAATTATTTTTTCTTTGTAACTTTTAAAAATTAAGAAAATACTTTTGGGTGCTTGACAGGTTTGAACAATTTAGAAAACGACGGTAAGTATTTTAGCCTTTTTAATATTAATAGGACCGTAGATACGAATACATTTGGCATTTTGGGGTATATTATTAATTTTCTATTAGTTACACCAAGAACAAGTCTTGCTCAATTATTAATTAAAAAATAAGCAAAAAGTTTATGAAATTAGGTATTGGTCCTCTAACAAAAATAAAAAATTCAGTTCAAGTGGAAATATATATATTTTTTAATCAGTGGAAGTATATATATATATTGAAATTTGGTCCTTTACTGTGAGCATGTTATGAAAATATTAGAATATTTGCAATTTTTTTTTATAAGTCGGACAAGTGAACGGTGTGTGAGTATGTGATAAGCCTGTCTGGCGTGGTCCAGCACCAAAAATGGTCGAAAAGAGCCAATTTGCAGATGGCGTTTTTTCGTAGTGGTAGAAAGTAATCTTGTTCATGTTTTTTGATATGGGTTCGATTTCTACGGATCTCTTTATCTCCTAACAACTAACAATTTAACCCACTAACGTCATTATTTAAAAAAAAAAATGATTATGTCATTTTCTGACCGACCTAGTCACCTAGAGATAAAAGAGGTTTCTATATGCACTCAAAACATTTGGTGACTGCAGCATATAAACAAAACTTCTCAATTTTTCGTTATACTCCTGGATCAGGGGTAAAATTTTCGATAGGACTGTCTGATTAACATAGATTTTATTATGGCCTAGGGCACACTAATGAAAGCATTCAAAAACATGTTTACCACAACAACTCTGCCGATCGGTTCGAAACACATAAATGGAGACTACGGAGTCCTAGTGGACATGACAAAAACAGTTGGGAGCATCATAGGAATCCATAGATAGAACTTGCTCTTACTGAGCACGAAAGAACCTTCCATATTTTATGACACCCGCGAAATAATAACCACACATCCATTTTTCTCCTGCTACACGCTCTCGTTTAATTTCGTCTGTTGCTTTTATTTAAAAAAAAAAAAAAGAAGGTTATAACCGGAAAATTAAAAGTCCATACAGCCCTACCTGTAGTGTTTGTTTGGGCCATTCCTAAACGCGAGAAGATTGTTTAATCTCTTATGGGCTTTATTTGTTTACATCATGTTCATGCATGGGCTTTTTATAAAACCACGACAACAATCAAATTTTATCCTACAAAACGGAGTCAGCCATATGAACCGTAGATTGTCCACTATGCTCGGATTGCTTGAATCTAAAACCAGCTGGCCTCCTTATAGTTTTACCTTATGCTTTTGTGTGAGATGGCATGCTTCAATTTTGCAGCCCGCGTTCTTTTGTTCTAATAGGTTTCTGAATTTCTAGCCAAAAATAATTAAGAGCGTTTATCTTTTCCAATACCACTTGTATATTTATAGCGTTAAAAAACTTATTGATCATATACAGCAAGTACAAGCAATCCAAGAAAAGATGAGCAAACTTGGATCTGTACAGATTAACTTCCTTCCCTTTACCGGCAATGGTGCAGGTTAGTAATAAATAGAACACATGTTATAAAAGACTACTCTGAGTAACATGTAGCAGGAGAGCCCTATGCTCCCGGCGCATCAAATGCTACATTGATTTAGAAATCTCATAAATTATGGGCACCTACATATCGACTTGATCGGCATCCGCCTTCAATTTAATGTGTTCGGGTCCTTCGATGACCCACAGTATGATGGTTGTATCCAGAGCGAAATTGACCCATCAAACAATTTCCACTTTCGTTCTCTCTAAGCAGATGATCTGAGAAAGAAGACAGGCGAGTTAGAAATCATTTCTGTGAGGAAAAAGTGAACATTACAAACTTTAAGCAATCATAACTTCCTACGTTTTGAAGAAAATTAAAATAAAAAAAAACTTCCAACGAGTTAAACTATTTCAGGTAATGGGTGGGGAGGCACAAGATTGTTTACGCACTTGTGCTAGACTGATTTCCTTCGATGTGGGAAGCTGCGGAATTGAGAACCTATTTTCTTTTACAGATAAGCTGTATATGATGGCAGGACATGGAAAGGGTATAGGCTTTTTATCTGGCTCCCTTTCACTAAACAATGTGTGTGTAACGTAGCAACAGTTTAATCTAATTTCAACAAACAAAAAATAGAACTATTGCAGTAAATAGTTGCGGGATTTAAATCCTAATAACTTTATTAAAGTTTTGCAATGTCTTGGAAGAATTTTGTTCAACTTTCAGAGGTAATCAGTAAAATATTACCAAAGCAGTAAACAGATGCTTAATATGCATCATAGCTTGCCAGTGGCCCACTGGAGGTGATGAATTTGGAACGCTTTCACGAAATTTGTGGGAAGTTGACATTTTCAGTAGAAAGACATACTCATGAATCATGAAAGTGTTGCAAAAGATCCACTATGAGTTTCCGCATGGGAATTACTTTGACCGAAACTCCAGCTAATTATGAATGACGAAAAAAAGAAACTACCAGTCTGTGAATAGGCAGACAAGAAAATATAATGTAACAACTAGAAGTAAAAGATAAAGTGCTAAGATTAATTATCCTTACCTTTTGTTCAGGTTCCTTGATGGTGTACAAGTAGTTGGCGATACCCCATCATAACAACTAGCATTGGAAACTTGAACCCTCTCAGCATCTTGGATTTCTGCCACCGAGTAACCAGTAAATGCACTCCTACTTTGGTGCTGAAACCTTTCACGGTCAAAAGTACACGATTCAGTACTTGTATTTTTGTTAGGTATGTTAGGCACAGCGTTGAGTGAGGGAATGGTTCCAGAAGTGAGCCTTGAAGTAGTACACCGCCCATCTGTTCTACGCCAGAACTTGGAACTCAAGAATTCTGCACCAGGCAGCCTGCAGCATGTATTTTCTGCAGATTCTGTGTTTGGGACCCTTCCACTTGATATTGCCAAATCGTATGATATTTCATCAAGAGCCATCTCAAGGCCGTGTACACGTGACTCAAGAGCATTCAACCCACTCTGAGAGCTCCCAATAAATCTCTGTATACAAGTAGAAAAAGGGATTCAGTAGCAGACCAGAAGCTTCTTTAACATTATACATCACTACGTATAATTTAATATTGTCCTAAAGCCTCAAGTTCGCAACAGGATACGATTTTTAAGAATGAAACTTTGAAAATACAATAACTGACTAACAAAGTCAGCAAGCAGAGACTACAAGATAAATAGTAGGACTAAACTTCGTCCAAAAAAAAAACTTAAGATTACAAGACTAACTAGAAATGCCTGCACTATCCCATTCCCCATTATCAAATTTTAAGTTTGCCAAGACCAGGCAACAATGGGGCGGTTGGAGCCTAATGAGTAATGAGAAGTAAGGCAGAGTAACTTTGAGTCTTTGAATAACAATAACACCACCACCACCCTAAAGATAAAGTAAAAAAGATGACAATAAGAAAGTAATGCCTCGGGTTGTGGTGCAATTTACATTTTTATTAAGAGAGAAAAGGTGAACAAGTATCAGGAACCTACCTGGAGTAGGTTTAATAAACTGGACTGCTGGTTTTCAATCTGAATAAGTTGTTCACGGATCAAACTGAGATCCTCAGCATCCTTTTGGTTCTCATAAACTTCTTCTGCAGCATTTCCTACTACAATATCTGAGTCATAGTTCTCGTCATCATTAAATGGAACAACACGTGACCCAGATTTTAAACTACCAAATCTGTGTACTTTTTCACCATGATTCTTACTAAAGAGTAAGTGATTAGTTTCTGGCTTGCCATTTCCAATGTGGTCATTCTTTCCTGAATCCGGATCTCTAGAGTCACTCCTAACAATATCATCCTTATGAGTCACCGTCAAAGAGAGGGAGTTTGGCGTAGCAATTTCAATTTTCCAATCAGAGGGTTTCTTATGGTCCTGCTTATAGAACACGGCTGCGTCTGGGTTTCTATCGCTTCTACTTAAAGGATTTCCCTTTTTAGCTGTGGTCACCAAAGAAGCATCTGATGGAGGGGACCTGTTTGTGGGGACTGTTTTCTTTGGTTGAGGAGTCCTAAAACCGGCATCATCGGAACTTTTCAATGACGGAGGAGAGCATCGACCAATCCCATTATCTGGTCCCATAGGTAAAAAAATCCATAAGAAAACATAAGATTACATGAGATTAGACAGGTTCTAAAGTTGTTTAACTTTAAAGATTATAGAGCAGGATGAAGACCACAACAGAGCTTACTCAAATTGGACAAACTAACACCATAGTAACAACAATTTCATACTTCAAAAATAGCTTTTGAATTCAGATTCATGGTGAAAAAATTCTATTTCGCTTTTCGTTTCCTTTCTCATGTCATAAATCTAAAACCGTTTGATCAAATTACTGAACAAGTAAAGAACTTGCAGGCGTTTATTGCTACATTTTGGTGTTTCTGAAACAAAGAAAAAGCCTTTACCAGTTGAAGATCTGGATTGAATTGGAGCAGGAATCTCTTCAGAATCGCCGGCAAGAAGAACCTTCCACAACTCCAATGCCTGGTTCATAGTCTCCCGGACTACCTTCACCTGTTAAAAGAACGAACTACTAAAATTCCAGCAAAAAATTATTAAGAAAAAGAAAAGTAAATAGTTGATAGGATTGAAATCACAATACTTTTCCTCTTCTCCTACCCTTTCTCAGCAACCAAACAGAGCCTCAAACAACCGATTTGGGAGGTAGGGAAGGCAATATACCTTATCAAATCTCCGACTTTCCAAGGCATTCAAGCACGAAGATTTATAAAGCGGCGCCAAATCTGTCTCCACCGTAGCCACCTTCCCAAGCGCCTCGGCCGCGGCCTTCCTCACTGTCCAGTCCTCGCTCCTCAAGAACTCAACCCCGCAGGGCACAAGCCAGTCCAACGCGCCTTGGCTAGATGCGCCACCGGCACCAACAATGCTCCCAACAAGCACCAGCAGTGCCGCCTTGGCCTTGAAACTCTCGCTCTTCGCCAGCTTCCCGAGCCGCTGCAAGCTCCGCTTCAGCTGAACTGGGTCCGGGTCAGGCGCGGAATCGATCGCCCCGGCCAGACACAGCGCCGAGCCGATCTGAGAGTTCAAGTCTTGCTCCGTGGCCAGAGCGTCCATCAATGGCTTTAAGAACGACGACGAAAAAGCCGGCGTCGTGATCTTGGACGACATGGCGGAAACTGCCTCCACGCAAGCGGATCGGACGACGGAGTCGGGGTCGCGGAGACGGCGGACGACGGTGGAGATCATCTTAGACAAAAAGGGAGCAAGGGCGTCGCCGTGGGAGTTCGACAGCAGGGTGAGGAGCGAAACGCATTGCTTGCGGACGGGTGGCTTGGTGGAAGAGTCGGTGTTGTGAATGCAAATGAGGAAGGTAGCGAAGGAGTCGGGTGCGAGGGTTCGAGCAATGGAGTCGAGCTCGGCGGAGGCCATGGCGAGAGTGTCGCGGTCGGCGAGCTTGTTGAGGCAGGTGATGACCCGGTGCTTCAGATCCGGAGTGGAAGATGCGGCGGTTGGCTGGGGCGAGCTGGAGAAGGAGGCTCGCCGGGAGAGAGACGCCATGGAAGATTGCTAGGTGTTTGATGTAATGCCGCAGTGAATTGGAAAACTGAGGGAGGAGGTCAGATTGTGGGCATTGGGAATGGGGGGAGATGAAGGGGGAGGCGGTTGACGCGGTGGTGGGTGTGGGTGGGAGAGTGATTTGGCGGCAGAGTTATGGGGGATGTGTCAGTTGGAGTGGTCTCTGGGGTTTTTAAATGTTTGAGGGGGAGGAGTGTCGACTGGACTAAGTACAGGGGCCGTGTGCAGTCAACATCTCGGTAAGTTCTTTCTTTTTTTCGCTTTTTTCGCGGGGAAAAGAAAAACTACCAAGTTTCTCGCACTGAATTTTTTCAGTGTGGGTCTTGTTAGGACCAAATTATATGTGTTTCTTAGCAGTGTTTAAGCTTTCAATGTTTTAACCATTAAATTTTTACTTTTATACTTTTTAAATAAAAATTTAACATTTTAAAACATCCGAAATATTTTATAACCCAGAGCATGATAAAAAATACATCTTAGAAAATATATTGTTTGAATACAATTAATTTTATTATAAATATTTGTTTATTAAATATCCAATTGTTTTAGTGCTTGTTGATTATACTTTCTTAGAAAACGTTTTTACGATTTATAACAAATTTTTAAACTTTTTTTGTCAAATGCTTTTGCAAACACTTTAATTGTCATAAAACGTCACAAAAGTATGTCTCAAACATGCCTAGCGTATTTAACGTTTACAAAAATAAGTCTCAAACATATTTAAATAATAAACGGTCAATATGTCATTGTTAATATTTGAAATTTTCTTTAAGGGTGGTTTTGGATGCAGTTTCTATTTATCAATGTTTTTTTACTCAAACCTTGTTGGTTTTCAGTTTTTGAATGAAGTCCTTGAAATTAATGCAATAATGCATTTCTATGTAGGTTATTATAATTTTAAATTAAATTTTGATATCTGTAGTTACTTATATTAATGAGATTTTGAATAAAAATCAAGATTTGTGGAATTAAAAATATTAAAAAATAAATTATACTTATATAAAAAATTATAATTTATCTTAATGACATGATTTGTCATTAAGATAAATTGTATTTAAATAAAACCCATGATTTGTCATTACTTATACTAATGACATTTTACATAAAAAAAAATTGAAAATTTTTATACGGTACATTTTACATACAAAAAGTTGGTACATTTTTTACAAAAAAAAGGTGGTAAGTTTTATATTAAAAAAAATGGGTACATTTCATATTAAAAAAATTAATAGCTCTTACATTAGAAAATGGGTACATTTAACATTTAAAAAAAAAAAAAAAAAAAGGTACTTACAAAAAAAATATAATAATAAATGGTATATGTTACATATAATAAAGTGGTACATTTTTCAAGACAAATGGGTACATTATTAGCAAACTATTGGTGCAAATAAAAGGTTAAAAAAAAATGAGTACAAATAAAAGTTTGAAAAATATGGACCCAAAAAGAAATTAATATATGGATACAAACTAAAACTAAAAAGAAAATTGGTACAATTTAAAAAAATGATAGCAAATTAAAATGGGTACAAATTAAAAATAAAAATATAAGATGCAAAATTTAGCCATAAATATATATTATATCAAATGTAACGTTTCTAACACTAAATGAATATATTTAGAAATAAAATTTAATTATCTTGACATGTAAAATATTTTATTAATGAAATAATTAATGACGTTTATTAAAACGGAGGGATCTTGATGAAAAATTGAGGCTTAAATATTAAAATGGTCCCTGTGTTTTAGTCATTGGGTCAATTTAGTCCATGTGTTTTCAATCTGGACAATCTGGACTTGTGTTTATCTTTGTTAGCCAATTAAGGACATTTCCATCTAATTTTTATAATATATATATATTATAAACTTATTTATAATATTATAATTTATTGGATTTAAAATATTTAAAATGAAATAAAATTAAAAATTAAAAGAAAAATTATTCTCCTCCCAACTCTCCGACCTTCTCCCTAACATTATCCCCTATTTTCTATGTCACAACCTTAATCATTTTTCAGATTAGAAGTTTTATTTCTTATATGTGTTATTTCTCATCAATTTGCATTTTTATGTAAAGAAAAAGGGTAATTATTTCTCATATGGTTTTTGTCACATCCCCGCCCAGGGCGGATCACTTCCCAAGCCCGCTCCACCACAGTAGCACGATATTGTTCGCTTTGGGCTTACCATTCCCTCACAGTTTTGTTTTTGGAACTCACGAGCACAATGGTATAGTTCTTTACTTCGATCCGTGACGTTTTCGAGTGTTTTGATCCTTGTCCGTACGTAAGAAGAAGAAGAGAAAGAGAGAGAGAGAGAGAGAGAGAGACTCAGGACAGGGCAGAATATGAGAATGAGAGTGTGGGTGTGTGTGTGGTCCAGATATAGCCAACCAAATCCCCAAAACAACCACACAACGAAACAAAATCACTAGGGGCAAAATCGTCATTTCAACATATGGTACGAATAATCCGAGACAGGCTGTCACAATTTTTCTTATGAATTTTTTAAAAGATATTGAATGAAATCTCCTTAATTGGCTAACAGAGATAAACATAAGGACTAAATTAGCCAAATTGAAAACACGAATACTAAATTGGCCATATGGCTATAACACAGGGACCATTTTGACATTTAAGACAAAAATTAAAAATGAATAAGGTTTCAATCAATGGAGTTGAAAAGGTGCGATAATAACCTGATTTCTCCTTTCTTTTATAAAGAACTATCATTACATGTTATCAATTTAGTTTCGAAGTATAAATACAATGTCGATGCATTGTTCACTTAATTGGTTTATGACTTTTGTTATACATTGATAAATCATCTCCTCCTTTGTCACGTACTCTCAACAATCTCAAAGTGAATGTTATTCTGGATGAAAGAAAACAAAATTCTAGTAGCGTGAATTCGCCTCCTAACTCGTGCAACAGTTAAATCAAGGCATAAGTCTCGAGATTTAGGCCCTTTTGAGTGCCGTTGCGATTGCAACACTTCTAAGTTACCAAACCAACTATCCCCTTGGGCTAATTATAAAACATAATCATAATTTTATTGTTAGTGAGAATGAAATTCTTCTGTTGTCTGTTGAGGTGTTCAGAGATGCTTTTCTTGAATAATAATTGAACCCTAATTTGTAAAATTTATATATATCGGTTGGAATATTGAAATTAATTTGTAGTTTTGGACAATGCAGAATGCACATGCATAGAAGCATAGAAATTCAGATGCCACATGAGAAGCCATACACAAAACAAATTAGGTTACTTAGCAGGCCACGTTGCCAAGAGCCAGTCGGCTACTAATGATGGGAAGGTTTACAACTTAATTAAGGGTGCATCTTAATATTATCTTATCCAAAACTTGTATAAGTAATTAATATGCATGTTAGGCAATGTGCCATGCATGAAGATTGGGAATACATACACGTACGACCACTACGCATATATTCCACATGTAACTAACGTCACCAAGGAGATCGATCGAGCATCTAACTGCAGTGCAGATTCTGCGGGTAAAAAAATGATTCGAAAGGAGAAAGAGAAAACCCTAGTTTCTAAAGGCTACAAGGGCATGTGATCGCAAGGGGAAGAAGATCTATAATCATGGGTACAAATCTACTTTCGCGTCTCGCGGTAAATTTAACAAAATCTGTAAAAAAAAAGATTGCATGTAATGTTGTATAATTGACATGAAACATCACATGCGGTAACATTGTACTTATGCTCCGTAAATTATTTTTTCAAAACAAAGGTAATCGTGCGACACGATGCTTGGAGTACTCGATTAACCAAATCTAGCAAGACTGTCTCTTCTCGCTAAAGCAGAAAAATTAGGTTGGATTCGGGTCGACATGCGGACGATGCTTTTTTTTCACTTCAGATTTACTTGATGTGCTAGTCGAGATTAGAACCCACTACCCCGTTTGATTCAGCTTTTGTCATCCTTTAATTATCGGGGCTGTTCATTTGCTCCTTGTGAAAGAATAAACCCTAAACCTAATGCTAATCAGTGATATGCCAATGTAGTCCATTTAGCTGGGCCAGTAGGGTCGTTGAAAGTCGACCCCTTAGCTATCTCTCCCGGACAAGGATCCTCTTCCAAATCTTTTTGTGAGAATTCAGAAATTAATAAATTATGTTCATTTATTGTACGTTGTGTGGTCAGTTTTCGTTATGTATTATTTATATTTAATTTTAAATTAAAATTTTGAAATTATTTCTAACTTCACAATATACGATAAATATACACGATTGATTTATCATTCGGATTCTCACAAAATAAATCAAGAGAGGATCCTATTCCATCTCTCCCTACCAAGGGTTAAGGCATGCTATGCCACAATATTACGGAATCTGAATATACTTTTTTTACTGAGAGACAGAAAGGGCTCCAAGTTGGTCTGTTGGTGTTAAAAGAAAAAGAGAAAGAAAAGTCCCCGTGATTTAAGTTCAAATGAATGAGAATAATAATGAAAAGAATGAAGAGAAAATTTTTTGTGTTTACGAAATACATGCATTTAGAATAAAGTTGAGGTTTTACTGTAAATTAATTGATAATATAGAGCGTAATAACTTACTTATAAATTGACACATCCCAACCGAAATCAAGGCGTCTAGCACGAGGCTTTTTGGAAGCTCACTAGTTTCGGATTTCATAGGAACTCCAAGGTTAAGCAAGTAGTGCGCGAGAGTACTCCCATGATGGGTAATCCACTGGAAAGTTCTCGTCTGAGTTCCCAAAAACAAAACAATGAGGGCGTGGTCGGGGCCCAAAGCAAACAATATCGTGCTACAGTGGTGGAGCAGTCCCAGGATGTGGTGGACCCTAGGCCGGGATGTGACATAAATTCATGCAAAGTTCATCCTCTCATCAATGTAAAATTCATTCTCAACAAGCTCTCTCACATGTGGCGAATTTACAAACTTAGCATGTGGACAACACAAACTGGGTGACGTGGAACAAATGTGTCGGTTAGACTTCACAAGTGGGACAAATTGTCATGAAGAAAGTAAAAACTTCACCATAAAACCATTTG